TAGCCACCTCACTTTTCATCTGCTTAGCAACTGAGGAATGGATAGCGCCACAGAGCCCTCTATCTGAGGACACACCAATAAGGAGGTGCTTCTTCTTGTCTTCAGGCACCTTAATATCAGCTTTTTCATACAGAGCCAAAGATCCTACTCCGTACACTCGAGCTGGTTTCAGCTCCCTCTCAGCTCGGGCATATTTTGCTGCTGATACCATTTTCATAGACTTGGTAATTTTCTGGATGTTTTTGATGGACTTTAGTCGCCTGGTAATATCTTTCAAAGTTGCCATATTTCGAACTTGGACCCATTGCGGCTGCAAGGCCCAGGTCGAGACCCCCGCGATGCCCGCCTGAGAGAACATGGTGGTCACCTTATTATCTTTTTAATGTGCTTGAGGTATATAATGATATCTCTTCTTTCATTTCTGATATTCAAATTTGTATCTCCTTTTCTATGTCAGTCTTCCTAAAGGTTTATCAATTTTAGTGATTGTGTAGAAAAGCATATTTTGGGTTTATTGATTTTCTATATTGTTTTCATCTTTTAAATTCATGTATTTATACTCTTTGTTAGTTCTTCCTTTTTATCATGGCCTCTTTTTAGTGATAAATGCCTGCATTAAAAGAGAAGAAAAGATCTCAAATCAACAACCTAATATTACACCTTCAAGAACTAGAAAAAGAAGAACAAATTAAGCCCAAAGTAAGCAGAAGAAAGGAAATAATAAAAATTAGAGCTGAAATAAATGAAATAGAGAATAGAAAAAAATCAATGAACTAAGAGTTGGTTTTTTTGAAAAGATAAACAGAATTGACAAACCTTTAGGAAGACTAAGAAAAAAACAAGACTCAAATGAATAAAATATGAAAGGAAAAAGGAGACATTACAACTGATGCCACAGAAATAAAAACTAGCATAGGCTATGAACAATTATATGCCAACAAAATCGATAACCTAGAAAAAAATGGATAAATTCCTAGATACATATGACTTATTTATTAGTCAAGATTCTCCAGAGAAACAGATCCAATAGGAGATAAGTGTGTATGTATCTCAGGAGATATATTATGAGGAATTAACTGATATAATTATGAAGGCTTTGAAGTCCCGTGATCTTCCATCTACAAGCACACCCAGTAATGTTGGTGACGTAATTCCTGTCCAAATCCAAAGGTCCGAGGACCAGGGGATTTGATGATGTGGATTCCAGTCCAGTGGCAGAAGACCAATGCCCCAGCTCAAGCAGGTAGGCAGGAAGAAAAGGGTGAATTCCTCCTTCCTCCACCATTTTGTTCTATTCAGGCCCTCAATGAATTGGATGATGCCCACTCACATTGGGGAGGGTAATCTACTTTACTATATCTACTGATTCAAATGTTAGTCTCATCCAGAAACACCCTCAAAGACACACTCAGAAATAATATTTAATCTGAACACCTTATGGTGTAGCCAAGTTGATAAATAAAATTAATATTCACAAGTCCATCCCTTGTCAACTTGGCACTCATATGCATCTCTTTAAACCATGTTTAATAAAGATGGTAAGGTAATAATTCTACCTAACATATTAACGATACAACTAAAATGCTTTCAACCAAAAATGCACTAACCCCTTCCCTAGAAGAAGAGATAAAATTCTTGAGTGACATTTACTCTTCTTAATATCCCATGACTTAAATACTATGATGTAAAATTAACAATACCAAAATACTATCACAAAATCAGAACATCTTTAGTTACATGATAAGAGAATAAGAGGGGAAAGAAAACAAAGATATACATACATATAGATATAGATATAGATACACACACACAAAGGTATCCTAACAAAATAAAGAGGAAATACTTATGACAATTACACTCCTCATTTCTGTAACCACATGTTCATACTGGTATTTATAACTACCTACTTCTACTATCAATTCTATAGTCTCTTTGCCTTCAGCAAGCACCTCAGCTGGTCATGATTATTACTGAAGGGTCTGGGCCATTCACAGTACTTCCTGGATTGGGTTGTTGTAGTTTTCCATTGACCTTAATCACAGGACATGAACTACTAAAAAATGCCCTAAGGAATCTTCTGTATTCCATACATACTCTTTCTTACCTCCATTGTGGAGTAGTAGTCCAATTTCCTCTAGCTAGTCAGGATCAATAACCCTATCCAGCAGCAAAATTCTCTTCTTTGCCTGTTGTTTCAGAGGCATGAGAAGCCCAAAGTGACTGAATGGTAATTTTAACTTCCAGTTCAATGGAATCATTGTTGTGTCTCCTGATGGAAGCATTCCTTCCTCTGGAACCAAGACCTCTAGGCCAGCAGAACATAAACTTGTTGGAACCGGGAGTAAAAATTTTGTTAGTGGGTCTCTAGGGGTAATAGTCAGTGGTACAACTCCAATCTCCACCCCTTAAGTCCTGGTCTCATGAATCCTGGCTATGGAAGAAACAGCACCACATATCAGATGCTGACTCAGAGTATATACAGCCTTCTGGAGAATTTTGCCCCTGCCCTGTAAGGTATTGCTACTTAGGTAGCACTGTAACTGAGTCTTCAAAAGGCCATTGTACCAATCTATGAGGCCAGCTGCTTCAGGATGGTGGGGAACATGGGAAGGCCCGAGAATTCCTTGAGCATGGGCCTATTGCCACCCTTCTTTAAGTATGAATTGAGTTCCTTGATCAGAGGCAATGCTGTGTGGAATACCACCACAGTAGATAAGGAATTCTGTAACTTCACAGATGGTAGTTTTGGCAGATGCATTACATGCAAGGAAGGTAAATCCATATTTGGAGTAAGTGTCAATTCAAGTAAGAAAAAAACAGTGTCCCTTCCATGATGGAAACAGTTCAATGTAATCAACTTACTATCAGGTACCTGGCTGATCAACCCAGGAAATGGTGCCATATTGAGGGCTCAGTGTTGGTCTTGGCTGCTGGCAGAATGGGCACTCAGTGGTGGCCATAGCCAAGTCAGCCTTGGTGAGTGGAAGTCCATGTTGCTGAGCCCATTCATAACCTCCATCTCTGCCACAATGGCCACTTTGTTCATGAGCCCACTGGATGATGAAAGGGGTGGCTGGAGAATGAGGCTGACAGGTATCCACAGAATTGGTCATTCTATCCACTGATTATTGAATCCTTCTTTACTAAGGTCACCCTTTGATGAGCATTCACATGGGACACAAATATCTTCACATTTTTTGCCCATTCAAAGAGGACTATCCACATCGCTCTTCCTAAAATTTCTTTATCACCAATTTTCCAATCATGTTCCTTCCAAGTCCCTGACCAGAGAACCGAACCATTGGCCACAGCCCATAAATTGGAATATAATTGCACATCTGGCCATTTTTCCTTCCAGGCAAAGTGAAGAACCAAGTACACTGCTCAAGGTTCTGCCCACTAGGAGGATTTCCATTCAACATTGTGCTTCGCGGATGTCCCAGAAAGGGGCTGCAGTTGTCCCAGCACTACTTTAATGTACTGCCTGCATATCACGTAGAGCCATTTGTAAACAAGACCCAAGTCTTCTCTTCTTCTGTCAACTGATTGTAGGCAACTCCCCATGAAGCCAGAGGTACAGGATGGGAGAGAGAAGACAGTGAGATGCGGCCCAATAGGAAGAGCCAAATCAAAATATTGTTAAAATATCCATATTTGATATCATATATGCATTATAATAAAGAAAATTACTGTGAATAGCAATGTTACTAGTATATAACTATTCATATAGAAGATATTTAATAAATGAAGAACTATTTCTTATGCTTTCCTATAACACTGATTGAAACCTCTGGAGCTGTTTTGTCACAGAATAGAACATGACTGCTGGCAGGGACTTCAGAGTTCTTCCAGCCCAGTACCCTCCTATTGTGGAGGAGAAAACAGGGCAGGGCTGGGAGGAGAGGCCAGACCTCCCCCACACCCACCCTCTAACCCCCGAGCCATAGCCCCACATGTGGACTGTCTTTGGGTTAGAAGCTGGGCCTGTGCTGGCAGGGCCTGTTCCATTCATTTCTCTGTCTCTTCCTTCAGCAGGCTTAATGGAACTTATAGACATCTTCAGTACCTCCACACCCTTGAAACCTTGCAGCTCTCAAGCTGTTGGCCGACTTTGCAGCTGTTCTGAATGGGTAAGCCATACTGAGAAGCAGTACCTCTGAGTTGTGTTGTGCATTTTCTCTGACCCAGTCATGTGGACATCCCCCTTGAGTTTCTCAGTCAGACAGCCTGCTCTACCCATCCATCTGGCTCATTATGTCACAAGTATTCAGAGGCTCAGCTTCGTTTCAGTCCATCAGGAGTTTATGTTCTATGAGAGAGTTTGAGATTGTCTTCTTCCCTATTACACTCAATGTGAAAAAGTGCCAGTGGAAATAAAAGAACTCATACATCTAAATGAAGCCCAAGACTCAGAGAAGCTGAAGGAGGACATCTCACTGGAGTTGTGGGACATGTCAACCCAGGCACTTCCCCTTTGCAACAAAGTGAGCTAGTAGGTTAGTGACAATGTGCCTGAGCCATCACAGTGCCTAGCATCCTGCTCTGATCTTCAGAATGTCAAAAAATGGCTGCTATTTCACTTCTGCATTTCAATTCTTATACAATTTTCTCTTATGACCAATTCTAACCTCTAACCATATAGGGAAGGGACTTCTGGGAAATATAATTACAAAAAAATCGAAGGTGACATAGTACAAAACCATCATAATATTCCACTGTATGAATACCACATAATTTATGCATTCTATTTTAGATCAATATTTGAGTTGTTTCCAGGTTTTGACTAATAGAAATAGGGCTATAATGAACATTCTTGTATAATACTTTTTTTTTTTTTTTGAGACAGAGTCTCACTCTGTTGTCCAGACTAGAGTGCCATGGCATCAGCCTAGCTCACAGCAACCTCAAACTCCTGGGCTCAAGCGATCCTCCTGCCTCAGCCTCCCAAGTAGCTGGGACTACAGGCATGTGCCACCATGCCCGGCTAATTTTTTCTATATATTTTTAGTTGTCCGATTAATTTCTTTCTATTTATTTTTAGTAGAGACGGGGTCTTGCTCTTGCTCAGGCTGGTCTCGAACTCCTGAGCTCAAACGATCCACCCGCCTAGGCCTCCCAGAGTGCTGGGATTACAGGTGTGAGCCACCACGCCAGGCCCTTGTATAATACATTTGGTGAGCATAAAAAGACATTTCTCTTGGGTTTATACTTAAGTGTGGGATTGCTGGCTGGGCTCAATGGCTTATGCTTGTAATCTCAGTGCTTTGGGAGGTCGAGGTGGGAGGATCACTTGAGATCAGGAGTTTGAGACCATCCTGGGCAACATAGTGAGATCCCATCTCTACAAAAAAATTTTTAAAA